AAATGATGGATCTAGAAGAGCTGAGCACACCTAACCCCATTACTCAATGAGGAGAAACCGCAAAATCAAAACCTCCCTTGCAGTATGCAGCATTAATGTGAACCGATCTAACGTGGCTACCCAAACAGCCATGCAGATCGTCTCCAACTGCACCAACCCGCCACTCGACATCCTCCTCATCCAAGAACCCTGGTGGGAAAGGATCAACGGCACCTATGCTTCAGTCACCCTAAAGGGGTGGCAAACGGTCCTACCAAAACTACCAATCGCCGAAGGTGAACGTCCCAGGACCATTGCCTACATACACCAAAAAGCGCAGATTGAACTAACCCTCAGGAACGACCTAGCCTCCGACCTGGACTTCATGATCTTGGATGTCAGGCGCCAGGGTTCCACACATCCCCCGACCAGGCTGATCAACATCTACAACCAAAAAACACTTAAAAACCCCCAACGCCATGAATTCACAGTGGATAGACTGGAGAACATAAGGCTAGAGGCCAACGTCCCCACAGTCATCACAGGCGATTGGAACATGCGTCACCCAGAGTGGGATGACCAAGTTGAATCTCCCTGTAACCGCACAACAACAACCCTAGAATGGCTTGAAGGGAACACGTTTACAATCTGCAATGAACCTTTTGTCCCCACCCGCGAAGACACACAAGGCCACTCATCAGTCATTGACCTGACCTTCACTAACTCCGCTGCCCTCAATGCAGGTGTCTTAACGGGACACCACGTTGACACAGAGGTTGGGTGTCTATCGGACCACCATGCCCTCATATTCCAATTAGGCCCCCCCAGAGAGGCAGTAGACAACCTCTGTGAGGAATACCTCAACTGGAAACACGCATCGGAAACAGCCTTCACAGCAGCCCTTGAGGATGTCATCGAGTCCAACAGAACAGCACACGAAACCCTCGTAGCCAACACACTCAACGACCACCGCACGACAGCATCACCGGAGGAACTGGATGCAGCCACCGAAACGTTACATGACTACCTAGCCAAAGCCGCAGAGGCCTCAGTACCGGAGAGGAAGCCGAGTAAGGCTGCGAAACCGTGGTGGACAGAAGAACTAACAGCCGCTTACTGGGAACTCCGCGCTACAAAGGAGGCACTCAAATCCTGGACAAGGGACTTCCACTGTCCCTCCATCGTCCTGGCAGACCGCGTAAAGAAGCTCCACAAGAGCATCCTGAGCAGCATCCGTAAAACCAAACAGGAATACTTCCGCAACATCACGGAGAACGCCAACCCGAGCAACCTTTGGGATATCAGGAAATGGACGAAGTGCCACAGGACCTACATCTCCCCACCCCTGCAGCGCGGAGAGAGGCAGGACCCGGCAACTACACATGAAGACAAATGCACTGCTCTACAGGAAAACCTCTTCCCACCCCCACCCCACCTTACTAACCAACCACCCATCTCCAGTGTCACGAGGAGAGAGATCCGTGACGCGATATTCACTGCGGCCCAGCTAAATGCTCCCGGCATCTCAGGCCTCACAGGCTGGGCCTGGAGATGGGCGTGGAAGACGCTAGGAGACGAGATCTTCCACCTCCTGAGACTATGTGCGGACTCAGGACACCACCCGAAACTATGGCGCACGGCGATAGCGGTAGCCCTGCAGAAACCGAACAGAGATTACTCCTTACCGAGATCCTACAGACTGATCCAACTGCTCGAAGTATCAGGAAAAGCCCTAGAAAGAGTGCAGGCCCGCAGATTGGCATACCTAGCTGCCAAACACCGCCTATTCCCAACCACCCAATACGGTGGCATTCCAGGCAGATCAGCACAGGACGCCCTACTCACCGTAGTCCACGATATCGAGGCGGCATGGAATCATGGAAAGGTGGTATCCACACTCACCTTCGACATCACAGGCTTCTTCGACCATATTCCACACTCCCACCTTATCAACACCCTCAGATCCTACCACATCCCACTGCCCATAGTAAAATGGGTACTCAGCTTCCTCCGAGACAGACAGGCAGCCATTTGCCTGGACGGTAAACGGGACCAGCTTAGACCCATTTCCACCGGTGTACCCCAAGGCTCATGCATATCCCCCATTCTAGCCGCTTTCTTCACCTCACCGATGTGCAAAGCCATCACTGAAGGAACACAAGCCAGAATCGCGAGGAACACAGAGCTAAGCACTAAGTTCAAAAAAGGCCAAATCACTATCTTACCCCCCACCCTATATGTAGACGACGGCTCACTCTCAGCAGCAGCACCCTCCAGAGCAGAGGCCACGGAAGTCATAAGAATGGCATTCCAAGCGGCACATGAGTGGCTGAGAGAAAGGGGCCTGAAGACCGACCCAACAAAGAATGACCTAATGCACTTCACAAAGACGAGAACGGGGAGGAACGCAGGCCCCGGTCCATCAATCACCATGCCCTCACACGAAGCCAACACAACCAAAACTATCACACCGTCAAACCTGATGCGCTACCTGGGCATCTGGTTCGACCCACAACTCAAATTCACGGAACACATCAAAAGAGCCACCTCAAAAGCAGCCGGAGCGGCACAAACCCTCCGCATGCTCGGTAACTCAGAAAGAGGCCTCCACCAGACACACTTCCGCCGCCTGTACCTAGGAGCGATTCTTCCAATCGCACTATATGGCTTACCTGTCTTCTGGCGGAAGAAAACAGTACTAATCAGGAAACATCTTTCTACTCTACAGAACAAGTGCCTCCGCCTGATAACCGGGGCCTTCCGTACTACGAACATAAACACTATGGAGATAGAAGCTTCCATCCCCCCCATCGACCTATACCTCGAATACAGGTTAAAGATGGAAGCAACTCGCCTCTCACGTCTCCCAGAGGACCACCCAATAATAAACCGACTTTACTCATGGCAAAGAAGGTGGACAACGCCAACAGAGCCTCCCCCACACCCAGTTTTCGACCCACACAAAAGATACCGCACGGACCCGATGGACAGATTCTCAACATGCATCACCCACATCGCCGAACACATGATCCACGGCACCGAACGGATCCGCCCAAACCTAGAGGCACCCTGGCACATCTCAGAACACGACATCGAGGACAGGATACAGATATACCTACCAGACGATGCCCCAGGATCTTCATACAAGAAGGAATGGACAGACGACCACTTGGAATTCACCACGGAACACGAGGAAAACCCCGATATCCTCTTCGTATACTCAGACGGTTCCAAAATGTCGGAAGAAGGAAGAGTTTACACAGGATTCGGAGTCGCAGGCTACGTAGCAGGCGAGACAGCGTTCGGGGACAATGGCCCAATGGGACCATATGTAGAAGCATTCGACACCGAGATGCTGGGCCTGAGAAGGGCAGCAGAAGCAACCCGGCGCTTCTTCGACGACGACTCTATCACCCCTAAACCCACCCGAATCGTCTTCTACTCGGATAACACGAGCGCGATCAGAAGGATCTTCCAAGGCAAACCTGGGAAGGCCCAAGAACATACCAGAGCCTTCAGGAAGACCATCTGTGGCCTCATAAATGACAGAGACGGCCTAAAGCTCGCCATCAGCTGGTGCCCCGGCCATTGTGGTATCAGTGGTAATGAACGGGCCGATGAGCTAGCCAAAGAGGGCGCCCGTAAACCCACTGATCGCCCCCACTACCACTCACTCTCCTATGTAGAAAGCCTACATAAACGCGAATTGCTAGAGGCGTGGAGAGAACAATGGACTTGCACACCCAACCCACCCAAATCTGGATTCTACGCAGCAAACCACATCCCCCCTCGATCAAACCCACCACCAGGTTTAAATCCCTGGACCGAAAAACTTTCAGCAGGATCACACAGTTCCGCACCGGCCACGCTCACATCGGGGAATACTACCACCGATTCGGCATCCAAGCGGAGAGCAAGGAGTGCACTTGCGGCACATACATGCAAACCAGAGAACACATCCTACAGGTATGCCCGAAATTTAAGAGATTCAGACACATACTGGGCCGTGGGCGTCAGTCTAGGCTCGATATCCTCATGAGCAAGCCAAAAGGCATTCTCAGACTAGCGGAGTTCGTCAAGAAATCACGAGCACTGGAGAAGAAAGGCAACGGGAGCAGACCCGAGGCCCCAAACGGAGAAGGAGACAGTGATGGATGCAGAGCAGAGTGATGCAGTTGACCGACAAATATTTATTTTTATATATGTAACATACACACATTACCCCGACAACTCCCCCCGACGTCACAACTCCCGAGGATCCCACTCACCCGAAGACACCACCCAGACACCCATATCATGTAAGGATGATCCCCTCATGTACACACGCTGTAGCGAGTTGGGATGGCCGCACTGCCACGTTGACACGAGGCCGCGGGGTAACAAAATAGAGTACAACAACAACAACAACAACAACAACCCTTTTCCATCCGCGGAATGCCAATAAACTTCTGCATCGTCCTTTGATGGGGTTACCCGGACTGCATTATCACATGCACAAAGACAGATCCCTCCCTTATCTCGCCACCCGGCTATGGTCACTCTTCCCTCTTCCCTCAGGCCTAATGACCCAGAGATGTGCTCCTTCACACATATGAGCATGGAGAAGTGTGAGGAATAACACTGGAAGTTAAGGCCTCGCTCGGGCAATGACATAAGAACAGGGATGATGATCCCATCCCGAAAGATCTGACCGATTCTGGGTATTGGAAGTAGGAATAACTCACCCAGAGTGCCCGGTGTGTGTATTCGCTGTTGGACTTGTACGAGGGGCATAACGAACGAGCTAACTGTGCCGCTGGGCCAATGGGTGTGGCGATCATCTACGCCAATATGTATTCTCAGGGCACTCTAATTCCAAATTTAGACAGTCCAGAAATACATCGTCCAATGCGTCTGAGTTTCATTTGAGCCAATATAGATACAGAAGTGTATACAGAGGAATCCGAATATAACGTCCATTCCGTTTGTGAGTGATGGAAAGGGGTCTCATGAGAGGCGTGCCAATCGTGTGTGTCCAAGGACATGTAGGGATCTGATATCTACACATAGTATTCATCCGACGACGAAAGGGGAATCAATGCGACACTACTGATTGGGTCGATATCATTGGGGGCCACCGGGAGATTAGGGAGACTTGATCCTGATTGTTGTGTTGTGAAAGGACAGCGTTGTCAGTCTGGATGCTCCCACCTAGCCACCCGGTAAACATGACGTGAATAGGATTTGAACGCAATAATAGTAGGAAGGGAAAGAGATATAATGCGTTAATTATAAATGTGTGAAGCCGGGAAAATAAGCGGGGAGTAATAACATACTGTCCCAAGCACACCCATTTGAAGTGTATAGTTGGTCGTTCGATTTCCTGGCGTCGTCAAATCCACAGGTAATCTCAACGTCACGTTGAAAGCTTTCGACCCAGTGTTCGCTAACGTTGCTTCCCACAAATCGATCCCACCAACATCGATGCCCAATTTTCCCTTCCCACTGGGTCCAACTCAAAAGTTACCTAATCCTAGTCCATCTGCACCAGGGACGGGGCCAACAGCTGGAATAGGAATCCCCAAGTAGGATTCGCCCAAGCCTGGTGAAGGCCATATCCCGAAGAGAGCGTAGAATTGGAGGTTGTTTTGGATGTAGAGGGATGTATGGAATGTTACGGTGAATTTATGACCTGGGTGGAGAACGGTTGTGGGTGCGGAAATGCTGCCGACAAGGGCGAGAGCTGGGGAGATGAGGAGGAAACAACCGACGGAAAGGATGGAGGTCAAGATGCTAGTCTTCATTGTGTGAGTAATGGTAGGTCGGATTGTTGAACCTGAAGTGGAAGTTAATATCAATACACCTTGGGCTCAGGTATCATCTTCCCTTGAGGCTAGTGAGAAGTCCATCGAAGACGAGCGTCATATATCCCAACACGATTAATATTATCAGGATGCGGCCGAGTACGTACAAAACTGGATGAAGGTTCTTTGGCAAGTGTGCCGTAGCACGAGAATCCGGGAATCGGCAAATAAGATATGTATGTCACAATGAAATGGGATGTTAGGATGTGGATTGGGGTGCGCGGGCGCACGATGAATTTGAAATCCACGGCAGCCTCGGCACATGGAGCTTTACATAAGCAAATACGTCACAGAGAACACATACCCATGTGCTCAAGCTCGGCCTAATACGTCCATGAGAATGCTCTGCGAGTGCCACATGGAAACTGGGCGGTTTCCATATATTTATAATCCTTCACGCGGCTGCCACAATGAGTAGTTGCATCGGTGTTCTCTGAAATATAGAAGCAACGGTTACCACACTGAAGAGTACTATGAGACGAGCCACATGCATACTTACCTGGATTTGAGTAACCAAACGTACATGCCAATCTTATTTGTGTACCACAAACCAAGCGGCCGCGCCTCCATGAACTGCAGCCACACTCTTAATTGTGATCTTATCTAGACTACTTAATGCCCGTCCAGGTTAGGGCGGATGACTTGAAATAGCAGATCAAAGGAACCAGCCGTTATGCATCGACCACATTCCCACTTAGGATAACGGTAGCCACACACAATGAGCGCCTGGACTGGCTAGTCCGAAATGAATTGGTGCACTCGGTGCCCGGGTTGGAAAATTGAACCAGCTTACTACGAGGAATTGCCATCTCCAAAAAAACCTATCTTGGATTTGGCTTTAGTAAAGAGTCCAAGATCATGTGAATAGAAACGTACCTCACACCGAAGAGAATTGTGTGAAGGAGTGTCAGAATTGCTGCCTCCGTTTATATATGGGTATGTTTGCATCAGCTAACATGTTCATACTAGGTACTAAGGAAACAAACTGAGAATGAGATGACAGCCTTGTTGATGCAAGTCTTCACAGCGTCTATGTGCTGGGTTACATCGGACACTGAGAGTAATCTCCTCGGAAGCTTTTGACGCGAAAGTTCCTCAATTTTCTTCATTTGCTCGTTCAAGGCCCTGGGTACGAGATCTGAATTTGAACGAGTAACTGAAGAACAGAATGTGCGTACGAATGAAATTCCTTGATTAAAACCATTACTTCGGGAGGGATATTGTCCGTCCACAGGAGCGGTCGCAAGATAGTGGTGTAAGCTTTATGGACGTCGTCATTTAGCCCTTTGAGATTTTCGCTGTTACTATCAACTGACTGTGAGATAATCAGACGGGCGTGCCACCGGTCCTGAAACTGAAACACTGCTCACCTCGTAGAGTTGGAGAAATTTCAGGAGTAGATTGGGAATCTCTCCCAGAAGCGGAATGGGAGAAGCCTTGAGAGCGAAGGCACCGACTTGGACAAGGAGCTTCGTAGTGCCAATAATGACCGGTTTCTTTCTATCACCAGCTGGTGCCGGCGACAGAGCCATCGCTTCTGACACTGAGGGCACATCTGGATCCGGTCCCATGCGTTCTAGTTGTGAGTGGAGACTCGAAGTGGTGTCGGCAACAGTCTGGATGCTGGACATTGACCGATGGTTACTGTCAACATTCTGTTCAGGATAGAGATGAGACAGCCACGAGGTATCAGGAGCCGGATGAAGACGTATATTTGCCACAGACGGTTCCGGGTGGGATGGAGGTGACTTGTGATGGCGATTGGGACTTGACCATTTCTCAAACCACTTGGTTATGCGATGGAGTGGCGACGTCGCTGAACCGCCAAGGCTGCAGGGAAGACGGCACAGTTGGCACGATCGCAAGAAATCGCTCGGGATGAGATCCTATGGAAAAATCATCGAGGTTCTGAGTTGCCTCGGGACCGTCGATCTGGATTTCAGGTGCGGCCCCCGATAACTGCAGAGCATGAGAAAAGGGCTGGTAGGCAGGAAGCTTTCCTTTCTGATGTCGAGAGGCGGGTGGCAGCTGGTCTTTTCCGGACATCGCGGCTAACGATGTGGACGATAGTGAACACAGGGATTGAAATATGAAGCCCGGAAAGCCCGCTTAGCCCTTACCACAGAATATATGCGGAAGCGCTTGAGTCGAGACAAGAAGCAGCCTTGCATCAACCACAATGCAAAGCACAGCCGATTGAACGATCCTAGTAAAGTAGCATTGCCTTGTTTGGAAACGAGATGAGTCCGGGCAATCCATTCGACGGTATCAAGTCTCAGATAGGCATGAAGCTGCATAATATTCATTCGGACTGAAAACGCCGAAAGGCCATGGTTTGTTATATTTAAGTGACCAGACACTGACACTTAGATATGCTGGTGCTCACGTTTAAATTTGGGTTGGGATGTTGTGCCTTGGGCGCTACTCCGATCAACATTGAGATCTGACTTGGGAGCATAACTTCGTCGGGAAGCGCCACGTCCTTATAAGTGGTTGTTAAACCGGAGGATTTTCGTGACCTGGCCTAGCTCGCTGGGTCGACTACCTCATGATGAAGCAACAGAAAAGGTAATTGAGCCAAGCCACAGAGGTGGGGAGTCTACAATTGACTCCCGGCTGCGACGGGCGGCCCTCAACCCGATCCCTTTGACATGACTACAACTAGTAGAGGGCTTTGTCAATTCGCCGTCACTGAAATTTCGGGTGGCGGTCAGCTCTAGCGCTGATTGATTCTGGTGATGCGTAGTTTGGCCAGTCATCACATGTTGGGGAAGTCTTCGGCCAGGCAACAGCTCGAAAGCGCTCCGATTTCGGATTCATATATAGTACTAGTGCTTCTCTGCTCTTACTGTGGAGGGACGAACGGCATATGGAACGACTGGTTGGAGTCAAAAGGTCAAAACATGTACTAGTCATGATGACTCCTGTGGATTTACTTGCTGCCGGCTGAAAAGTAATATAACGCTCCGAACTTTGTGCTACCATTGTCGGGATCGAGATCCCGAGGACGTCTGGAATTCCTAGCTGGATTGCGAGTATTCTCGGTGTGCTGATATGTAAAAACCCTAGGTACAGAGTCGCACTCGCAGATCGGGCGTGTCGTATTACTGTACTGGCACGACCAACAACCGGTAACGCGTAACGCTGGCCTGCCGGTCCGGTTCAAATGTAAAATTGTAACGCGTAACGCGAGGCAGCCGGTTGGCTGTCCAGTGTAACACAGATTCATGGACGTTGTGATGGCTGTGCTAATGATAATTCAAATATTCCTTTTTTGTATTGTATATACATTCAAAAACGGAAAACGGCCATTTGCCTCTCCAAATTACGTGCCCACTTCACTCGCATTCCACGGCCAAGGTCCTGTGCAAGACCGGATGAAGGGAGCAATGCCGTATCACCAAGGCCCTCGGCCTCAGCTTCTTCAGCACAGGTTGAAGCGACCCGAAGGCCACCATGATCCACTTCCAGATCAGGATTGGTCCATCCGTCGATGTGCTGGAATACTTCATCAATATCGACATCAACATCGTCTTCTGGAGTAGGTGTGAATTCCTCTTCATGTCCAGTAGGTTTGGGAATGTCGCTGCCATCAATCGGGCACTTCCGTGGTGCCATTATCGCCTTACCAAGCTCCGGGTCATGAGCTGGAAGGTCATCGAGAATCAAGCGAAGTGGGCGGCTGGATAAGCTAGCTTGTGATAGATTGAACTCGTTCGAGCAACATAGCTCAAAGGCCTGTGAATAGTTATTGCACTTGTAAATTAGATTCCAATTAACGCACCTTTTGGACCCGATCGGGCTGATTCATGACATGGAAAGAGTGGACCAATGTCCCAGGGACACGATCCCTGAGTGCGCTGAGTCTCCTATTGAGTATCACATCGCATGAGTCGACCCCATTCCGTAGTTGTGAATACACTTCCTGAATGGTGGCGGTTTGCTGTGACTGCCTGACAGCATGCTTGAGTGGACGCTGAATACCAACGTCACAAGGTTGCCAGAGACCGGTACACCCTGAAGGGACATACTCGAGTATGATCCAGGGGTAATTCTCATACATCCAACATCGGAATTCGAGGGATGTGTGAACGGACCATACATCGAGCTGTCACAAACACTCTTGGAGGGGGTCCAGTGCAAGCCGCTGCTTCGCAGAATTGAAATAGGGGGCTAGAATCTTGTTCACGAAAGATTTCATTGTTGCTATACTTGCCCAGTATGTGTCATTGCCAGAGCACTCAAAAACGAAGCCAAGGTCCATAGCTTCCTTATATCCTGGAGCGCTGGCCGATGGAAGACTTGCAGATGTTTTCCCCCGGAAGATTGCTGGAAATGGTAGAAGTGTGCCACTAGCGGAGATGGCGACATTGAGGGTGAAGGCATGTTTCTCTTCATAGCCAACAGTAGACACCTGACATGAGCCTTTTGTTTCATAAGTTGATACAGAGCTCTGCTGGTAGACTATCTGCGTCTGGTCTGAATTAACTCGGAGATTGCTAGGGATTACATATTTGTGGATGGAATGAGCCTGGCGAAGAAGTGAGGCATGGATTCTTGTGGCAGCATCAGGCGGGATCTTTTGCGAGGCACGTGTTGCTTGTCGCAACGTCCAATTCATCTCGTGTTCAAGAAACTTGCGAACCCACTTTGTGCTCGCCATAAAAACGCTCCCATCTTTCTTGATGATGGTTTGGAGTATTTGAGGTTCGCTGTGCTGAATTTGGGCAATGATAATGCCTCGGATTTGATGGATGTCCAACACTGCACCCGTCTGCCGGATGCTCGACAACATTGTTTTGATTCCTGCAACCACATCTGGATGAGAAGCCTGGGCTTCATTGGTAAGTGAAATATCTTCTGGAATAATGCCCTAACTCACCAAAATCCCTTTCCTTGTCACATTTCCTCCTGGACAGTTCTGCCATGCGACTTTGGCCAGTGTCTCAGCCGACCAACATGGTTGCAATCTGGTGCGATCAATCCATTTACCGACAACATCGGCATGCAGGGAGTGGAATAGCCGCCAACTTCTTGCCTGACAACCTTTCACTATGTCAGTGGCGCTCATCCTGTGGCTCACGGTGGCCGCCACCTCTGCAATGATTGTCCAAAAAATCGGTTGGAACCAATTTGTTGCTTTCGCAGGCTCACCAACCTTGTTCCTGGGGGCTGGGATGTGTTGACTTGGGGGTGAGTTGTCTTCTGTCGCTTTCGTTCCTTC